CGATGAAGTACCGGCTGTAGAACCCAAACTGTCTGTCGAGAGAAGGGACCACCTCGATGGCCTCCTTCCTCAAGAGAGTGTTAACTTCTTGTTCCATTACCAGAGCCTGCTCGGGGCCCACCAGAGTGGGAATGAACCCGTTGAAACGAGGCAGAGAAGAACCGAACTGATTCGGTAGCCTCTTCTACAGTGTGCAGGACCCACTGAGACACATTTGGCAGAAGTTTCCGCGCTGCCAAAAAGGTCTACTAAGGGATAATGAGATAATGAATGAGATCTCTGGTGTAATCAGCACGGCCTCTTAATACCGCTACGTTTCTGGGCGGTGACTGAGAGAAGCGCTCGCCGAAGACCACTGCGCCCTGAAGCACCGTAGGTGGCAGGGTTGGCAGATCGATCTCCTGAGCGCCGGTGAAGGCTCCCTCCTCAAAAAGGCAGTAACAAACGCTCGCAAGAGAGCTGACTCTGCGTGCTTCGATTATTATATAATATCATATTAGACTGGAGGTGTTGACATTTCTCACTCCTGCCTCAAACCCCTCAGACACCCAGCTTGAAAAGAGTCTAACAAGCAAAGGCGCAAAAACAGCATGTTCTAAGAGTATAAAGTGATGAATGATAGAGGACAAGTCCTTACAAAGTTTAAACTGGAGATTGTGCCTCTAAACAAGCAGAGCTTCACATTTCCCAAAATTATTAAAGCACGAGTCAGTCTTGTATAAAGCCAATAGCCGGTAGTTACAGTTCGCTGGTCTTCAAAACTCCTGAAACTTCTTTAAAATTACCCTAATTACAATGAGAATACAAAGTGTCATTTGAAAAAAAGAAACAAAAAAAAAGAAAGAAAAAATTCAAGTCTCACTGCAATACTGTGGGACCCCCACTTTACTCAGTTCTGCTGTATGAGAAAGTAAGGGGGAAAGATGGAAAGGTCCCAAATTTCCATAACCATATTGTTGGGACACAGCCCTGGCAGTCTAGAGAACAAGGCATGGCATCACTCTTTAAACACTGAGCCATTTTCCACAGTTCCTTGTTCTTTTAAGATTTTCTATCCCTCCTTTTTATTTTAAATATTAACAGACCTTATAAAAGTACAACATTTGAAAGGAAATTGTAAGAAAAGAAGCAATGATTACTTTGAGTTCATTCAATCATTTGAATGATTACACAAATGTGGCTAGTCTCCTCTGATCTGTGCTATGAGAAGCACAGACGTTCAGCACACAGCAGATGTATTCACAGAAGGCTTCACTAAAGAGTGCATTCAGCTAACCAATGATATGTAGTCGGTCATTCAGATTGAAGATGTCACACACACACACACACACACACACACACACAATATATATATATATATATATAGCTTCTGTCATCATTTACTCATCTTCATGTCGTTCAAAACACATGACTTTATTTCTTTCATGAAACATAAACAGACATATTTTAAAGAATCGTGCTAGTCACTCTTGCAATTATGATGCTGACTTTCAAGCTTCAATATGCAAAAATACAACAAAGTATCATAAAAGTGGCCCTACAACTTAAATTCCAAATCTTCTGAAGCCATATAGCAAAAAAAAAAAAGATTAAATATCTGCTTGATTTCAGATTTTTCAGTGAATCTCTTTATCTGGTTGGCAAACCAATCTGAATCCTTTGTCCATGAATCAAACAGATTCATTCATCCATTCGCAGTGGTTCTCAAGTTCAGTGGATAACCAATTTAATGCCTGTATGTTTCTAAAACAAAACTATGGTTTGATTTGTAAGGACTTGAGATATAGTTCACAAGCTGTATTAAACACTGTTATGGTGTTTCTAAAGCATTATGCTTTCTGAAGCTAGAAATTGTCTGTCTCCATGGGGACTAAGAATAAGGACCAGAAGATTTCTTCAAAATGTCTCCTTTTACATTCCATAGATGGAAAAAAATGGGTTTAGAATGACATAAGGATGAGTAAATGATGACAGGATTTTCATGTTTGGCTGAACTACCCCTTTAACTATTCCTTTAAATATTCAGAATGTATGTTGGCAGTAGTATGAATTAAACATACAGAATCTTAGCTGTTTGAACTAGCCTTTGACAAAGTCATCCATTGATTTGGAGACCAGGCCCTTACCTTCAGCTAATGCCAGATGACCCCCGTGAACCAAGCAGATGGTGAGAAGCACCAGAGAGGAGCAGATGACCCTCATGACTCCCTCCTTCAGCACCTAACCATGATAAAAAAGAATAAGTGAACAGGTGAGAAGGAAACAGCAGACAGAGACGAGTGTAAATAATCAGGAAACAGGTGTGTTAAGAAATATTGTTATAAGCTCATTGGTACGCCTTTTGACACATTGCCATTGTTTTACATTTAATACCATACATCTGCAATAAAAATAGTTTCTAAATAATTGCTGGAAAGTGTAAGAAAGCATGTGGGAGCAGTCATAATCAATACAGCGTTTAATGGCCAGATTAATAATGGTGCCTATTAGGTTGGATGGGTGCTTTTTTAGAGTATAAATTGTGCTAATGATCCAAAGAATTTCCAATAAAGCTTTGTAACCCATGACGTTTGACGATTATCATTACTGTGTCCATCTGTCCCTCTCAGTAACAGCAACACAATGGTTCACCACATTGAATACTAAATATACGTTGTATACTGCCTGATATTTATATATATAGATATGTGAAACATCAGCCATATCCACTATAAATGTTTCAAACTGTGCATGAACTCATGTGTTTCATGTTTAATTCATTCAAGTGTTATCCAGTTATCATCTTGGAAATAAAAAATAATTTGCCTTTTTTTATACCATTTTTTAAAAAATATAAATGGTATAATAATTAAGTCAAGGAAGACACGTTAAAATATGCAGCTGATATTAAAAGTAGAACATAATGCATTGTGGGGTACAGCATACATTAAGTAATTTATGCACAAGAAAATCTGCATGTTATGCAGAGTACACTACATAAGCTTGGGGGTTGGTAAGATCTTTTAAATGTTTTTGCAATTAGTTTTGTATAATCACCTAGGATGCATTTACTTGATTAGAAATACAGTAAAACAGTAATATTGTGTAACATTATTACAATTTAAAACAACTTATTCCTGTGATGCAAAGGTTAATTTTCAGCATCATTAATTCAGTCTTCAGTGTCACACGATCCTTCAGAAATCATTCTAATATGCTCATCTGAAGCTCAAGAAACATTTACTTTATTATCAATGTTGAAAACAGTTGTTTAGTGAACAGTGCTCCTTAATGTTTTAGTGTATTTTTCAGGATTCTTTGATGAATAATGCATCCTTGCTGATAAAAAATAATAATAATTATATTTTAATATTATTAATTATAGAGAACAGATACCAGAAGAGTAGTAAGGTAATATCATACAAAATACTAAAATAGCTGATACAGGATGTTGACAAAGAAACAAAAAAATAAATAAAATAAAATAAAAAAAACCTGTTTCTTATGTGTACTGATGTATTATGTGTATTATGTCAGTGCATATGGAGGGATTCAGCACCTTTAATTGCTTGTAACAAAGGAATGAAGAACCCAACTGGACTATCAAGCATGCCTCAGATATATTTACCGGTGTTCACAGAACCATCACCACCTCCCGTTTACAGACATGCTGCTCACTCAAAGTGACCCTCACTGGCATGTCTGGACATGAACCTGTCAGAGTGATGCATTAGTCAGAAAGCCCGAGGGGAGAAGGTCTACTCCTCGTCCTTTTATGGCTTTCTTGTAAATTTCAGCCCATTGGTGATGTGTGTGCAGGCAACACTTAATCTGCATCCTCCGACTAAGGTCATATAACCTGTAGGCTCTGTACCAGTTGAGACACCAAAAGTGCAGGTTTCATGCGAAATTACACCACCCCAGAGTAGGCTATACGCTATCACCTGAAGATGAGAAACACTCTACCTTCTCTCACCGGCCGTCCACATGTCTGTTTGTATCATTCTGATTCAGTTATTTACAAAGCACATTCCAGCTCGCTTCTAACTGCAAAATCAACAGTGTTCTTGTAAACAAGACAACATCCATTTCAGGTGAGCGAGGCGGAGATACTCCATTATCTGTATTCAATGCCTCTGGGCAATTTCTCATTACCATTCGCTTCCACGCACAGAAAAAGGAATGGAAATTAAAGCTTGTGCTTGTTTTGTTCCCTTTTCACTTTGTTTGCCGTGCAGCGAGAACAGCTGGACCACGCAGATAAAGGAAAGAGTCTCTCTTGCGTTCTGTCTTGGCTCAGTGCCCGGCAATCTGAAGTGAATGTCTATAGTCGAAATGACAAAAGCACTAGTTAGGGAATCAAGTATGTGGGCTACAAACGCACCGGGACGACAATTCACAGTGTTTCAATGAAAGATTGATAGTTACAATCAATCTATGCATGCGAAAACAATAATTCGGGACCATCTAAGAGAATGGCTAAAAGTGACAATGTGCATTTTTAATAAACTAGCGCTTTAATTAGCTATTGTTAAAATGTCTACAGTCATTTTGTTTTGCAGACTGCTGACAGGAAGAAGGCTGTCAAGAAGGCGCGTAGTGTGTTGTTTTCATGTCAGAATCTGAGAGCTCAGGGAAAGAGGGAGCGCTAAACTCTCTCTCTCTCTTCAGAGCAGTGCAAACAAGCAACAAGCCGTATTTTTATGCCTATTTTACGTATATAGTGCTGTCAGTTAATCGCTGGGTTATAAACACCTCTTAAAATCACTATTTTGGGAAGGCAGGGTGCTAAAAATGTCACTGGTGTGAAGGCCTAATGATATGACATCACAAACAATCTAAAAGTTAAACAGAAAGTTAGACTGAACCTGGTGCATATACCCAATTTTTTCGAAAGAGCACACAGCATTTGGTTACAAGAACCTGCGAGTTAGAGACACATCAAACACAAGCAGAGAGCAATCCAGAGAGATTTATAATGGGGTCTGTGGCATTTGTAATCATGTCTGCGGCACTGTTTAACCTTCAATTACAGCTGTTTTGCAATCATTCTTCTCCAAAGGAGCATTTATCCTTTTGTTTTTGTTTTTTGATACAGCGTCTTTCTTCTCACTGAAGGCAGAGTCTGGTTTGCTTGAAGCTTGGTTTGTCAAACTAGACCTAATTAGTGATGGGAATGTGTGGCAAATCCGGCAAATGGGAATAGTCTGTGTCTAAAAGTTATGCTGCAAACGTCTCTTCACCTTGTCTTCCCCTGCATTAGCAGCAGATGGTTTTATCATCAGAAAGAGCATGCATTTTTTCCACTCCCACGGGCTGAATTTAAAAAAAAAATCCCTTTGTATACCCTTGGCAGACAGTAAGCTGAAAAGGTTTAGAAAGAGATTATTAATGAACTATGGTCTGTATCAAATTTAAAAAGTACCTTGCCAGGGGGTTGCATTAAAGAAGCGTCCTGATTACACTTTGAAAGTTGCATCATTGTTGACAAGCAAAATTTGAAGTGTCTAAAAAAAAAAAAATATATATATATATATATATATAATATATATCTGAGAGAAGCGTTAGATTGCACAGCTGCAGAGTGCAGATGCGTCCCCTCCTCCTCATGCTGACAGCATCACAGGGATGTGATCATATTCCAAACGTCACTGTGACACGCAGCTGTCCAGATGCGCTGGTGGAAAAAGCAGCGCGTATTCTGTCTTAGACAATATATTACTTTAAACGATACTGCAATGATTTGCATAAAAGCATAGAGGCAAATGAAATTTACGTAATATTGTTATTAAATATAATATTTATAACTAAGCGAAATAGCAAACTATAATTATTACAAAAATGAACATTTCTGTTCGTATTGTTTGTTTTTGTTATTACAAACATAATAAAAGTATGCAGCAAATTATAATAAAGCGCAGCGATCTGAATACCCGGAGCGCGCGAGTTATAACGCTCTACCGCTAGGGGGCCAAGATTAGGGCAACAAATCAAAAAGTTTTTACCACAAACCAAAGTGGTAAAAAGTGATAAAAGAAAAACCATTTGCACTAATTGCAAGTGCAATCCGACAGCACGTGGCACATTAAAACTGTAATGAAAACGGGACCGAAAAACGATGTGAACAGCACATTTGAATGAAGGAAATACATTAAATCGGCTACAATATAGAAAGAAACATTCCTATTATTTGCATCCCCACAAAGCATTAAACGGGTGCTTACATGCATACAGTATATAGACTAATAAATTATTTTTTAAACTATATAGAATAGGCTACAAATGTCCCGTTTCATTAGCCTAAATTATAATTAATAAAAACTTGATCTATAGCTATCCCCGGGGAGTTTGCAAGGATCCTCGCCCCCGTAAAGATTCCCGATATGTCAGAACCAAAAACACATAATTTTACCTTCTGTGATCGTTAATCCAATGAATTATAGCAGCATTAATAAGCAGAAAACTCTTCTTAGTGTAATCCAGTTTGCTGAAAGAGCTTCCAAGAGTCCTCTCTAGCGCGGATAAAGTTTTTGCCTGGGAGTTCTCCTTCTCCAACTTCTTTCTCCCCTCCCCTCAGAGTTGTTTTACTAAACTTTCCCTTCGCTGTCCTTCCTCGATGGGAGAATCTCCAGGATACGCTTGATGACATCATCAGCTGCTCTGGCGGAGTGTGGAAACGCGCCGCAGGCTTTTCTTTCCGCTGCCGCCTCCCACAAGTCCTGCTTTGTTTGATTTCTCCTTTTCAACTATGATTCCACGACTGAGGAACTTATCTTTATCTGAGGTCATGCTAATGCAGACAACGCTGTGGGTAAAACGGGTCATATGTGACTGAATACCAAAGGCAAAATATTACAAACTACTGCCACAGTTTTGATGGTAACCATATGGTTAAACGGCAATGGGTCGTCTGGTCCTTGTTCTGTTGTTTCAACTTTGGCGGTAAACCATGTGGATTGAATTATCCGCGTTTCCTGTTACCAGGGGCGGATGTAGAAAATAATTTTTAGGGTGGCAAAGGGGTGGCATGGGGTCTGTGAGGGGTGGCAACACCAAAGCAAGCCCCCATGCATAGTTTTGGGGGATTTATTGTCTGACATACACAGTTGTGTTCACAAATATTGTATTACCATTAAGTAATCATCTATACTGTTTAAAGTGAAAAATAAATAACATTTAAATATCCATCAGAGAGAGAGCAAGCGCAAATCCTGGCAGCGGCAGGTCGCAGCGCCACTTCCGGTGGCATCCCCAGCTGCCACTAGTCGTTTCTGGCAGCTGCCACGGTCTTTCTCGCCGTTTCTGCTGTTTGCTCGGTAAAACTACACTGTACTCAGTGGAGAAAGACCGTGGCAGCTGCCACGAACTCTGGCAGCTGCCGTGGCATCTAGGGATGCCACCGGAAGTGGCGCTGCGACCTGCCGCTGCCAGAGAGAGCGCCAGTCCCTGCTGATCCATCATTGCACCAAGTCAATACACAACATAAACTTCAACAGGTTATATGTTTCTGAGCTTGTATCACTAAAGAACACATGCGGTTCTATTAAAAGAAGACATGTGGTTCTATTAAAATTACATAGGCTACTTAGATGGTATAATCGCGTTTAGTGCAATTTTAAGAGCAACAAAAACTTTTGAATTGCCTGACATTAGAAAGAAATACAATATTATCAAAGCACTGAAACTGGGTCAGTTTTGAAAACAATGTTTGATTTTCTGTTATTAACAGACGTGGGAATGTCTGTAATCACCCAGAACAAACTATAGCAACCATATACTCTAGCAACACCCCAGCAAGAGAATAGCAACAACCACCCAGAATATCCTAGCAACACTTTAGCAAACATCTAGAACATCTAACTGACCAAACCATTTATGTTTTTTAAACAAGACTTTAAGACAAGCCAGCATAAATTTGTCTTTCAAACTTTTCAGTCTAGTTATTACAGTTTTTCTTACAGGTTTTTTTTTAACTGCTTACACACATTTTCAAAACTTTGCCTCTTTTTTTTCCAAAACTTTACACACAAATCCAAGAATTGCACACACAAAATGCAAAATGCCTCACATCTCTTGCAAAATGAAGCACTGCATTCAAAATATCACAAACACATCTCAAAAGCAAACATTTAACCGTGTGCTGTTTTGCAAAAAGTGTTTTTGAAAAATTGAAAACTGAGTCAAAGGCTGGGAATTAGTGTATGGTTTTGTTGGCCAAATTTCATTACAGTATACAGCACTACAGCAGTTTATTGGTCTCCTGACACACTAGCTATATCTCTAGGCAGTCATTTCTCAGATCTGCAAAAATGCAGTTCACATAAAAAATGGTTACAAATAAAATTTGACAGTCACACGCTTGAAGGTGTACAACATGTGCTACAGTTTACTG